AGAATATTTATTTCCAATTTTGTGATGCTCTTTTAAAGTATAAAATGTAAGCTCTCCTTTAAGGTGAACTTGACTTCTTTTTGGATTCATCCATGAAATTTACAGCAACAGAAATTCCCTTCTTCTGGAATATTCTTCAGCTTCTCTACATTGTTTACAGTCCTGATATTCTCTGGGGATTTTAATACCACCTGATGCTTCCACCCTAAGGGAGAAATTTCATGTATTTCCTGCTTCAGAATGGCAGTAAAGTAAATATTGGAGTTATTTTTATTAATGGCAATATAAGAAGCCCTAAAGATTACAAGAAAGGTCACAAAGTGAATTAGATGCAGTTTGGTGATTATGTGAATACAAGAGTAACTTCCTTTCATGGCACAGGAGCCATGGTGGTGCAGTGGTTAGAATGCAGCATTGCAGGCTAACTCACTGCCCACAGTCTGGAGTTCGATTCTGATTGGCTCAAGATTGACTCAGACTTCCATCTTTCCAAGGTAGTAAAATGAGGATTCAGATTGTTGGGGGCAATATGTTGACTTTGTAAACTGCTTGGTAAAGCACTATGAAGAGGTATATAAATCAAAATGCTATTAATTGCTACTTTGGGGAATGTCCACAAAGAAGTTAGGATGGGTCCATACTACTTATCTCTTTTTATTTTAGGGAATGATCTATCTGAATCAGCTTCTCAGGAATTTCCAGAGAACTTTCATCGGGTATGAAAGATCTATTCATGATTAGCTCCACTAGCTAATTAGCCTCAGATGATTTATTTATTTATTAAGACACTTGTATACATGGAATATTAAGCTATAATGTTAACCAAATTATTAGAACAAGTTTTCCTTTGGATAATCCATTCTATGGCTTAAAACCCAATGAACTTAACCACTGATTGAGGTTAAGATGTCATGAACATAAGAGCCTTCAGCTGTAATTGAACAGAATTGGAATTTGTATTATAAAACATAAAAGGGAGTGTACAAAAACTGATGGATGGATGGGCGAAAGAAACAAAAATCACATCGCTTACTAATCCTGCAGAACATTTGAAAAACAAATAAGAACATTTTATTTTTATGTATAAGGCCCGTGTACCACTCTAATCACACTCATTCTGAATGCCCTTGTTTCCCTTCTGCTCCATTGTGTGCAATTCTCAGAGACTGCCTGGAAAAGTCCAGGCAGTTTTCTTAACAAGATTTTTCAGGAGTGATTTGCTATTACCTGCTTCCTAGGGTTGAGAGAGATGACTGGTCCAAAGTCACCCAGCTGATTTTGTGGTTAAGGCAGGACTAGAATGCACAGTCTCCCAGTTTCTAGCCTAATGCCTTAACTCAGGGATGTCAAATTCAAGGGCCAGGGGCCAAATCCGGCCCATGGGGTACTTAGAACTGGCCCATGAGGCCATCGTGGAAACAGCAAAGGACTGGCCCACGGTGCCACAGAGGGTTGCAGGAGGCCATCACAGCCAAAAACAGAACTCGGGAGCCTGTTTTCTCTGGCAGAGCACTTGGGCCACCACAGGTGCCTCCGACATAAGGGATGTTGAGCTGGCCATCCCCATCCTGGCTACGTCCACCAAACACAACCTTGATGTGGCCCTCAATGAAATCTAATTTGACACCTCTGGTTTAGCTAATATATCACATTGGCTCTTTTTATTTGCAGTAGTACATTTAAAATACCCATTCTTCTACCTGTATATCTGCACCTTAATATTTTGGTATAGAAACACCAGATGAAATAAGCCAAGTAGGGAAGCACATTGATGAATATAGATCTTGCATAAACAGACAAAGACATTTATCTACTTTTCAGTTTACCAGGAGACTGACTAGCACAGTGGTTCTCAACCTTCCCAATGCCGCGACTCTTTAATACAGTTCCTCATACAGTTCCACCAACCATAAAAGTGATGTCTCAGTTCCTAAGACCATCGAAAATATGTGTTTTCTGATGGTCTTAGGCGACCCCTGTGAAAGGTTCGTCTGACCCCCAAAGGGGTCCCAACCCACAGGTTGAGAACCACTGGACTAGCACAAGGTCACCTTTGTGCCTAAGGTGGGACTACAGTGCAGTTTCACAGTTTCCAACCCAATGCCTTAACTACTACACTGCCTCTAAGTGGTATATGGTTCCCCAAATCTATAATTTGAGTTAAAAAGCAAAATATTGATTAGCCTTATTCATTTAAATTCAAGTCTTATATAGAAAAGTTAAACATAACTCTCTTTTCCTCTATTCTACTAATAGACCCTGAAATTCAAAGCATTATTTGTTAACATAAAAAGGAATTTTGAAGCAACCTGCTATCTTATTCCATTTTAATGCACAGTATTGATGTCACTGATTGATTAAGATTATTTCTAGCGCCCAGTGTGACTCAGAGCATCTTTAATTTAACAACCTCCATAGACCATAACATTTCTACCCACAGGTCAGGTTTTTAACAGTTTAAACTGTATCATCATATCAACAAGATATATTTCTTGAAAAATACAGCTGTACGGCATGTAGAAGTTGACAGGAGATGCCAGGAAACTGGTGCATCAGTGACTAGCCTATGCATTTTTTCTGATATGATACAGTACTTTACATTATTATTAATCATTATTAGTGATTACATACATAGGGTATATTTTATACCCATAGATATAAGTGTTGTTCAAAACCAGGTTTCAATAGAAGAGAATATTTGTAGCCAGGATTGAATTATGAAGTCAGAGACCATTAAGGATTCCACACAACCAGGTTTGTTAGTCTGCTTCAAAGGCTTAGCTAACTATATTAGCACTCAAAAATCCATTCCTGAATACACTTTATATTCACCTATCATAGGTAATGTCTTTCTTCAACATACATGACTTTTTAAAAGGTAGTCAACATGTGAATCTAATACAGGTACTCCTTGACTTACAACTTAAATCGAGACCAAAATTTATGTTGCTAAGCAAGACAGTTGTTAAGTGATCTTTGCCCTATTTTACAAACTCTCTTGCCACAGTTGTTAAGTGAATCATTGTAGTTGTTAACTAAGTAATACAGTTGTTAAATTTGGCCTCCCATTGATTTGCTTGTCAGAAGGTCGCCAAAGGTGATCACATGACCCCAGGTGCCAGTTGTCAAGCATCTGAATTTTGATCTCGTGACCATGGGGATTCTGCAACAGTCATAAGTGTGAAAAACGGTCATAAATCATTTTTTCAGTGCCTTTGTAACTTCAAACAGTCACTACCAAATGAACTGTTGTAAATTGAGGACTACCTATAATATAAAGTTACCTGAATAATCTTGGATTTAAGAATGACTCCTCCACTAAGAAATATGCTCCTTGGTAGATGTTTAGAATCAATTCTTACAGGATTATTTCAACTACATTGCAACTACAATTACTATGAAAAGGAAAATATATTTCAGTTCCATATATTAAACAAGTCACACTTTTTTCTGCTGAATAGCCTAAATGGAACAGAATGCCGTTCATTCCGCATAATTTTTTAAAAATGGAAGTTAATTTGCAATGTGATCAGAACATTGTCTCTTTAAAATACATTTCTCAATTTACCAATAAAATTGGCACAAGAGTTTGTGAGATGGGAAAGGAATATTTTGAGCCATCAGGTGTTAAAGAATCTTTCTTCCCACCAGTTCTCTGCAAGAATGCAAACTCATAGCTGCTTTCAGCTTTAAAAATAAAATTCTCTTCAGAAGAAGAGAATATATATTGCAGCATTTATGTGTAGTTAAGCCTTCATTTGATTATTAAAATGCTTTCTTAGAATTCTGATCATATTTTCAGAATCTGATCTTAAACACCAGAGATAATACTTTTCTGTAAGAGTGCCAAGCAGAGTCAAAAAAAGCGTATTTGTCAAATAAGTTATTACATTTCCAGCTATGCAGAAGTTAACCGCCCCCCTCCCAGGGGCTGGATTTAACAGTTGTTTCTCACCCATCTCCCAAAAATGTAGATTTCCAATCTCAGATTCTTTTCTCTCATCTGATCTTCTGAAATCTAATTCCTAATTACACTTTAACTACTTCCAAAATGCATGACCTACTCTTTATATAGCAAACTACTTAAAACAAGAGGCAATAATCATAATCCTTTTACATTTTTATAAAGATTTCAAAGAGAAATCATAATACAGTAGTATCTGTAACAGTTGATACATTATGAGATAGATGTTTCATGTATTTGAATACTAGTCTTACTTAAAACTGAAAAATTGCAAAGGGCAAAATATTTATAGGTAGTTTTTGCTTATCAACTCTGTTTAGTGACCATTCAAAATTACAATGGTGCAAAAGAAAAAAATAGCTTTATGACCAACCCTTGCATTTATGACTACTGCATTGTACCCATGGTGATGTGATTGCTATTTGTGTGCTTTGCAACTTGCTTGCAGCAAGCGGAGTTAAGTAGAGAAGGTAGAAGTAAAATCACAAGTTGCAGTCTTGTGATGTTTTCCTTAACAATTGCCATGACTTGCTTAATGACCAAATGGGAGTGAGGTCATAAGCCTCTTGCAGTCATGTGATTTCTGCTTAGTGACTGCTGTAGTTGATGATGGAGTTGCTGGTCCCCAGTTGTGATCACAAGGTGAGGACTGTCTGTATATGCATTCAGGCACTATGCAGAGAATCCCAAACTGTGAATTCTGTTTCTGAAAACACTGATCTCTCTTCTTTCACTCTGTGGAACCTATTCTGTAGGTAGACTAGCCTCCTCGTGATGCATCCCAGGCAACATGACTTTGTCACAAACTAAATAATTTACACATTCTGGCTGCTGGACCTCACAAGGATCTTCCAGCAAGAAAAAGCATGAATATGTCATACAAAATGAATAACCTATTCTGGTTAGATCAAGTATTTTAAGCTCAGTTCAGGAAGCTCCAGTGTCATTCTCCTAACCTAATCAAGACTAATCTATCAGCTACATTGATGGTTATAATAGACTACCATTATACTGGACTTCAGAATATACTGTGTAATCAATACTCGGCAGGTCTATGGTCTCTTGCTTTGCATTCAAAGCCCCAATTCAAAGCTGAAGGAACAACAGTATGGGACAATGGAAAATGAGCATTAGAAATTCTCCCCCACTAATCAGTCCACAGATGTCAATGTCCAAGAAGAATCATGCATTGGTTACTGCTTTAAGACAGGTAGCTGCATCCTACATGCAGCACTCCAAAGCAGATCCACTTTCTTTCACATCCATGTGTCATGGGTTCTGAGCCCCTTGTCCCACTAAAGAGAATGATCCCATCTTTTTACTTACTCATGCCTCTCAGGTTGAGCTCAGGCCCTTCGGGAGAGCTGGTCTGCTGCACATCACATGACTCTTCCTTCTGAGGAAGGCTGCTCTTCTCTTTCTCACCCTGCCACCTGGTAGGCAGAAAAAGCACAACCAATCAATTTCTCTTCGTATTCATAATGTATCAGGGCTGTGCACATATTTAATTTGTAAACAGTCTGGAGTCAATTCACTGAATCATCAAATCAAATTCTTAAACTGAAGTAATGATTTATTTCAAATCAAAAGAGACACCTCTTAAACAATTCAATTCAGACCAATTCAGGCCCTTTTTATATATGCGCACATGGGTTCAAATCAAATTATTATGATTCTGATTATTTGATTTGGACATCCAAATTGAATTTTCCAAATCAAATTGTTAATTTCAGTCAGATCAACTTGCCAACCTAAATCAACAATTCAAAAGGGAGTGGACCCAATTTGCATAGGCCTATTATATATCTCCAACGATCTTAACATAATGCACAGAAAGGTTATAATTATTAAGCCATAATTCTGTCTCTTTCCTGACACCTTAATAAAGCAAAGACCAGGTTCTTCTAGGAGGAACCAATTTCTTTGACCTAAGGTGCCAAGTTACACGAACCAAACTCACATATCACATGTAATGAGTACAATAAATATTTTAGCTGAATGAACTAGCACTGGCATATGACAGCTGTTGGCATATGTCAGAGCAATTCTGAAATTGTTATGATACATATACATCTTCTCCATGAACATATAATCCGGATGCCACAGCAAGCTATCTACAGTGGTCAGGCAATAATGCTATCCGAGAACCTGGGGAAGCAATAAAACAATTTTGCTACAAGCATTTGTCTATGCAGATCTATTCAAATGAAATTCTTAACAAGTTTCACTGTGTTAATGAATTTGGCCCTAAGTGATAGCTTGTTTTTAGTGCTAGAGTCTAAAAATTGAGTTTGCTTCTCCCACCTTGGCTCATAAATTATTTGTAGCATGCAAATGCTAAACTTTCTCAAGAAAACTAGGGCTAAAAGGATGATATATTTCCTACAATACATCTTATTTAGTAATATTAGGATAATGGAAAGCAGAGCTAGAATTTTTTTTTCTATTCACCTTTACTTTATTCAAATAATAAAGGCAGGATAGAAATCTAATAAATAAGTAAGAAGAAAGATATATTTAGGAATACATACTCTGTGACACTTACCGATAATGAAAAGGGGCAACCGTGGCCATAATGGGATGGTTATGCTGTGGCACAGAAGAGAAACTGATGGGTGCTGTATGCAACACAGGTCCCTTATTAAGGTTGCTTGTATCCAGTGAGATTGTCTGAGGATTATCTTCTTGCTTGGATGTTCCACTTTCCTTCCAGTTGACTTCTGAGGGTGATTGACCTTTTGCTGGACAGCTCTGAGGCCTCTTTGTGGTAGATCCCTCTGAAGTCTTTGACATTTGAGTCTCATTATACAGGTTGAGATAGGAAGGGCTCTTCCCTGGCAGATGAGTGGTCTTTGCCGGGTCAGCAATTGTGCTGGGCTTTCCAAGGACCTTCACAGCAATGAGGCTGCTATTACTTTCACCTTGTTTAGAGGTGTTCTTTACTTTCTCAGGTGTCTGAATAACAGCTTTCTTCACTATCTTGGTGGGTCTGGAATTGGCCTTTGGTAAGCCCCAGGGACTGCTGTAGCCAGACACCAACCCTGAACTAAGGCTAGAGTCCATCTCCTCTGTCTCATCATGGCTCCCAGATATGTCTGCTTTCTCTGGTCTAGGAGTTGCAGCAGCTGCAGCCTTAACCACAAGCTTCTGCTTTGATCCTTTAGGAGCTCCACAGGTTGAGCTTCCCTGTGCCTTCCCTATCCTGGGAGATGATATCCTTGGTGAGGAATATGCTCCCGCACAGTTCTGTTTAGGGGGCAGTTTAGGAGATGCTGCCAGGGTATGTATCTTGCTATGAGATGCAGATCTAGGAATAGGTATAGAGGAGGCATAATGGCTGCGTCCAGCTGCATTCACATTGGCTGCTCCATTCATCATCAGCAAAACTTGGATGGAGGAAGATCAATCTGAGAAAACACAAATCAAAGCATATTAAGTCTGGAGCTTCAAAGCCAAACCTGTTCAGCACAAGGATTGTGTACATCTGCAAGTAAAAATCTCTCCAACCTTTTAAAATTTAGTTTTACCTTTACTTTTTCATATTACTTACCAATAAGACAAGAGATTATTAGCTGTGTAACCCTTAAATTGCTGTTTTCTGCCTACATAATATTGACATCAAGCTCACTATCTTAGACAATAAAAATAATTTTTGAAGTATGCTAAATTTAGTTCTTGGTGCTTTTATTTATCATTTAAACAACATTAAGGGGAAAGTATGATTTACAACTATAAAAAGAGTTTAAACATAGCTTTTTTAAAAATTAAGCTTTTCAGTAAAAGATGAATTGCTAATAAATATTTGCTTTTGAAGTATTTCACAAAACAAAGGTCATTTAAATCAAATCAAATATGGCTTATTGATTTCTCTCAAACTGTCAGTTCCACTATTCTTCAATTTTATAAACATATCAACCTTTTCCTGACATTTATATAATTAATCAAATTAATACAATAGGTTTATTCCTATTCAGTTTACTGAAAAACAAATCAAACCTAGTCACTATGTAATTTAGCATGATAGAAGGAAGATGCAACTATTGGTAAACTGATTCAGTGGTTTATAAACTGAATCAGTTTATAAACCACTGAATCAGTTTTACCAATAGTTGCATAGAGAAGTATTAGTTTCTTATATCTTCCTTCTATCATTATGTAAAGAAATAATATTCCATTTAGGTAACAACATACTAAATCTGGTTTCTTTATTATCATACTAAATTAACATGGGAAATCAATATTTGAAAATAGACTATTACTATTATAGATCATTTACAATTAGTTTCATAGTCTAACATATGTTGCAACTTAATAATTCAAGTCCTAACCAAGGACCTATGAATTATTAAGGAATCTGTTCACAACAATGTGAGATCACAACTGCCAAATCTTTAGCTGGTGTTGACCTTCATTCACACCACGTTCTTCCCCAAAACCTAGAATGTTGTCATATATTGGTATAATGTATGTGCAGATCCAAGCAGTGTGGCCTGTGCAATGGCAGATAGAAAATGTGTCAATGTGCAGATTTTATAGGTGCCGTACAGGATTATTTTGGTATGGCATCCACTGTACTGATAACCACTGGGACAACTGTGGTGAATTTATGCCCTCATCTATCAGCTTCAGTTTTCAGATCTTGATACTTGTGACCTTCTCCTATTCTCCTATTCTATTTCCTTTTGTTCCCACACCATTTATCCACTTTTTCTTCTTTTCAATCTGTTACAGAATCGGAATAGGTTGAGTAATTATTATAATCAATATGCAGGACTAATTCATACTTTGTAGTCATGCACTGTGACAGATCTCATCCAGGCAGAAGATATTGTACATAAGTACAGGTATCTTAAAAATTAAGAGTTGGCAAAGGAAATGGATACTGTATACTTTTATGATAGGACACAAAAGATTCTGCTACAAAGTTTGAAGGATGCCTATTCTCCATTAATTATGCAATGGCCTGAAACTTGTTTTTATCTCTTTCTATATTCGAAAATATTTCAACCAACAATTTACCAATGGAAATCCTGACTGGAGAACCATTTATAAATTTGGACAACACACAATCGCTTATGTTTAATTTCCCATTTTTCTTTTTGTTCTACAAACTGATTCCGCTATTTAAAATTTAATTATATAATACAATATTACTACACATTTTATTATTTTATAATAGTTGTAAGTTTTTACAGTTTCTTTTTTCTTTCATTGCCTAAAAGAAAGAACTAGAGTGGCTCTGTTGCTGCTGTTCAGCGTAAATGGGTGGCCAGCAGAGATTAAGAGACTCAAATCTGCACATAACTTGATTTGTTTCCCAGCTGTTTTTGAATTAGCAAAGGATCATAAAATCTAATCATTCTTTAAAAGAAAAATAACTGCAAATATACTGCTTTCCAACTTGCAACAGAGAAAGAAAATAAGTTGTCCCCAAACAACAGAAGTATAAAATAAAGAATTTAGTCTTAAGATACAAAAGAATTTGGCAAACATATCTCAGAATGTGAGACTTTTACATTCTACATACAGGAAGGAACTACTTTCAAACTAAAGGAAGGAAATAGTGTTATTTATAACATGTTTTGGGAACACTTATGGGAGGGGGAAAATAAACTGTGTTTCTGAGTGGCATCACTACTAATGAGATGTTCTGAATGTTATGAAAAACAAATATATTACAACTATTTGTTTTATATACCACTTTTTCTCTATGGGCTTAAAACAAAATACACAATGATTTCTTTTCCCATTTTCTCTTTGATAAAAACCATATGAGGATGGTTGGGCTGAGAGAGAAAGAGAGAGAGTGCCCCAAATCACCCAGAGCCTCCCAAAGTGAAATTGAATATCCTTGACCTTACACAATCTGTTCAAGGTTCAATTGGACACATTTTATAATGTAATGTAATATAATTATAATATAGTGTTATAGCAGCATATGCACAAAACATCTAGAACTCTTAGTAAACTATCACTTGAATATGAACAACAATATAGAACTGCAACAAAGAAGACTATGCAATCTTGGTCTGCATTAACAGAATAATGGAATTTAGAGTATATGATTTGAAAGGAAACTAGATGCTTTAGAGCATGAAGCACTCTATTCCAACAACAGAAGGTATATCAGCATGTATATGTTATTTATTATTTTATAATTAACATTCCTATGCCATTTTATTCCAACCAATTTACAGCTGGAGCATAGTGCCCAATTTTGAAAATCATATTTTTACAAGGGACAAAGAGCAGGTTCAAGAAAGAGCTACCAGAGTGATATGTTTTCAGTAAACCTAAATCCAATATGGAACAATTAAAAGAGTTGTTACACCTAATTTGCAAAAGAGAAATGTGAGAAAAGATATAACAGTACAGGGCAGCGTAATCTCATTCTCCATTAAAACTGCAATCAGGGCAAGGAGCAAGAGGTCAACATTAAAAGATAATTTGGGATGAATATTACGGTAGATAGAATTTCAGAGAGTAAAGCAGGCGAACAGCAGAATAATCTGCCTATGACAATAGAAGAATCCACAAACTAGAATTTTTTTCAAATGGATGGTGGATTAGATTTTATGTTAAGCACAACAAAAAGTATTAATTCTCCTGAAATCCAAACTCATATTCAAAAAATAATTGTCAGCAGAAGCATCATATTTTCAGTGCAGCCATGTATCTTGCTTTACTTGAATCGGAGAATTTAAACTGCCACTAGACACTAGTTTTTATTTTGTTGTGTTGTATTGTTTTATGTTGTGTTGTGTCAACATGACTGTCCTCTGAAATATCTGTCCTGCCACTCATTCTAATAAAAACTTTCCATATTTCAACCCAGCATGAATGTAAAATAGAGGAAATGACTTGGGAAACAATAGATACACCTCATCCTTAACTCTATACACACCTCATAGGTTGCAATTCTGTACGTGCAGGAATTCAAAATTCAAGTTGTATTTCTCACCAGATGTTTGCTGACTAAAACATCCTTCTTTCATACACAAGATCCTGTATTGCCTGCCAAACTGTTACTCCAGAGCTGGAAGGCAGGCTCACCAAAACTATGCTTATTTATGTCACTAAGCATTTAAACATTTCTGGTAATTAAACCTTCCCACCCTATTAAACTTCTCAGAGTGTAAGGAATTTATCAATAGCTCCCTGTGAACCAAACTATACTGAGAAAATAAAAGAAAAAGAAAAGAAGCATTTTCTATATTGATTTTAAATTTCCCCTTATCACTATTTCAGACTATTCCTCCAGCTGCTATCTTGGCTCTCAGCTGGCTCCATCTGGAAGGGCAGGAAAGAGAGTTAATTCCTCAGAGGAAGTTTGCTCTGGATTTTATTTTAATGTTTTTTTCCCATGATACTTCAAGGACACTATTCTCAGTAGCTCATTTCCGTGGGAAGCTGCCACCACCTTGGAAGTACAATTCTGGACAAGATACATATTACAGAAATTTGATTTTCCAAATGTCAACTGGCCACATTATGTCCCAGTCACTTATTTCTGTAACTATTCCCATGGCATAATCACATGAAAGCTGAAGACTTTAGGTGATAATATTCTACACTAGCTGATAACTCGGTGTTGCCTGGGTATTTCTAATGTTGGATTTTCCCTCTTAACAGAGGGAGCCCCCTTGTGGAGTACTGTGAAGCCTTTACCATGGCAACTCCACTGTGCTGTACAGTAGAAGCCATTTTTATGGCAGTATGGTAGAAGCTATTTTAAGGCACAACAGGCTTCAGCTTTCA